TCTGGTACATTATCTTCAACTTTCACTTTTAGGAATTTTGTATCTGAATTTTTAAGCATCTTCGCACCTTGAGCTTGCAAAGCAGCATCTTCGCACCTTGAGCTTGCAAAGCAGCATGAGCTGCTGACCTTTTCTTCTTGATTTCTTGTTTATTATGACAAAGTCTGCTATTAATGTTCCCTCGTCTGCTTGTTTTTCCATTGTTTTTTGGAATTCCTATTGTCAGGCCATAGCGCTTGTGTCTACCCCCTTTTGCCACCTTCATTGCTTGTTTATTTAGTTTTAAAAGTTCGATACCATTTATCTTATCATGTTCGCCAAACTCCTCATGTACTGGGGCTATATTAACTACATCCTAATGAACAGGGTGCTTTTTAAAGGACAGCTGGGAAATATTCACTGTCTTGGTTTGCTTAATACTTGGCACAAGCCATATGATATCAACAGTATCATCATTTGTCATTGTTTGCACTAACTACGTCCTGATTATCTGCTAAATATTTATCCTGGTCAGCTGTAAGCTCACCAATAGACAGTGGTTGATGGTTACTGTCAGTAACTGACAATCTCAAAGCTCTCCCCTTTAAACTAAGCATGTTTATACATTTTTTATTCTGTCCAAGATTATAATTAAACATCTGAACCTAACTCCATCATTTTATTAATGAACTTATCACAGCTTTCTTGATAAATGCCCACTTAGTAGTGAAATTTCTTCTTTTTATCAAGTGCTACAGTTCTCCATTAAAAATTTCCTGCTTCAGCACATTCCTAGAAACAGTGGACCTTTCAACTTTATTATTGGCCATCTGCCATCTAGGTACCATGTATGAACATATCAACACTGGATTGTTCATTGCCCGGATGATGCCTTACTGCAATGACAAAGGCTATTTAAAAAAAATTTGAAGACCTCAACAGAAAAACCAGACATGTCACATTTAGCAACTTTTGTAAAAAGTGGATTTTTAAGTTTGGAACTATCCAAGATTTTTGCATGTAAATATATAATGCTATAATTGTTCATTTACTTAGTGATACCATATTACTCTGTTCATATACATGAGTTACTAGGTATTTTGGACAATATACTGCTATAAAATTTAAATAAAAAAAATTATTATACTGACCCTGACTTGGGACATCTTCTGCTTTTCCATTGAAAATGGAAACTTTTAACTTGTTCCAAATCTTTTTGAAAAAAAGTTCAACTCCAAGTCATCACTTAGTTGACTGTAGTGACCACTTTAAATAAGAGTAAGAAAAACTAAATTTTATTAAAAAAAACAAATTTAATTTTTATTTAAAATAATATAAAAATTAAGTCTTTGTACTGGTACTTCTAGGATATAATAAAGTATCTCCAGATTTATGATTTCAGTGTGAGCCTGAATCATCTTCAGATTCAACTGATGTCTGTATGTCTCCAGTGTGAGGAAGTTTGTCAAAAAAGTGATAATTTTCTGGGCTGCAAAACTTCTTTAACACCTTCTTCAATGCTTCAATGCTAATAGGCAAAGGGTCCATCATGTAGGATCTTTTGAGATGCCTTGCTTCTGCAACCCCTTTATTCTTGCTATGTTAAGGCTTTGCCAAGACAGCAGAATCAAAAACTCCATTCCAGTTGTCCCTATAATTAATGTCATCAGGATGTTTGTCTATGATGTGAATTTCCCTCATGGGCCTAGTTTTTATAGAGCATGTTTTTTTGAACATGGGTGTCAAAAATTCTTAGTAGCCAAAATATAGACTATGTCTTGGATGGCATTGATGACATGATAGGGTGATGGTTTTGCCCTGGCCTGTCCTCCAGTCATCTGCTAACTCCACATCACTCTTGCAAGTAATCAGGACCACCTGATCACACTCCATATAAAAATTGCCATGAATCGGAAAAGCCATCTTAACCAAATGCAGCCTTTGCATATTATGCACAAAAAAGTGCATGAATCTTAACATGGTGTAGTTTTTGTGTCCACTACAACCATTACAGAAGAAATTGACATCTCTGACTGCATCCGAGAGGTGCTGATTTATAAAATTATTCAGTGCAGAGCACACATCATTAGCTCTTTTTTTGACTATGGTCTCATCATATGTATAGAGATAGACCTCATCAGTGGAGAGTACATATATATTGAAGGTGTACATACTGGCGTCTGTAATACACATCATTTGTCAATTTATTTGGTATGTGCAAATTTTTAACAAAATCAAAGATATCGCTTCTAACTTTGTTAGCCCTGGCTCACAGCTTTGCTGCAGTTTTTCTTGAATAGAATAAGGTGGCCTTTTCTTTTGTGTAGAGTTTGTTCTTCAATTAACTCTCTTTTCTTTAAGCACGGGGCAGTTATTCAGAGTTTATACTTGCGAGTTTACTGTCAATATGCGCAAGTTTGACAATGAATTCATTACACATGGAGCATGTATCTCTTCTTGGATACCAAAAGCGGATGTTGAAGTCATTGATGAAGACAGATCTGTAAAACTCATAACTGACCTGAAATATAAAAGAAAAAAACCCAACATTTTACGGAATTAAGAACCCTAGTCAGTCACAAAAAAGAATCATTAAAAATCTTACATTCTATAATGGGCTTAAAACATTCGCTATACCGGTAATTAAGTTTAAAATAAGCAGTGGGGGAATCTTTTAAGTTGTTGTACCGTAATTTATTTTACAGTTTGACAATTTTACTCTGATATAAATACATTTTTGAGGGGGTTTACTGTAAATTTGTAATTAAAAAAAAAAAACCCAGTTTTTTGGAAGATCTTGTAGGCCAAGTTATAGGATTAAATGTATCAGCAGACAACATGTAGCCCTCTGGTTGCACACCCCTTGTACTAGTACAAGATTTTTCACACACCTCACATGTGTTAACACCCTTACGGGAGGCTTTCAATTTTTATTTCACTTCAAATGGTAATTTTTTTTACTGTGTCTTTTATAAATTTAATAATTGGGTAGATAATACTTGCTCCTAAACTTAATTTCTGCCAAATTGTAAGGATTAAAATATCCAGTTTTACTACAACTATATGCCTATTGCTTGTCCTTGAACTAAATAATGCATTTAAAATAATTTTCTAAGTTAACTTAATTTTCTTTTAAATTTAGGTCGATAAACAAAACCTGGAGCAGTCCCATCCAAATATTGTAAACGGTCAAAAGGGCTTTATACAAATTAGTACAAAATAATTGACACTGAATTAAAAAATAATAGGGATGATTATGTTTGAGTGATTATATGTTTGACTGTGTTTAATACAAGACATAGTGATTAGCTCATTCTGCAGCTAAGTCAGTCAGTGAGTGCTGCTTCTGGTTTAATAAACATTTTATTTCTACAATGGGTGATACAATAATCCATCAGGAGTACAAGCAATAAATGGTTGTAGTGGATTTACAAGGCCATTGTTTCTAGATACAAAACGAGGAAATTTAAAATGTAACATATTTTTAACTATGGGCTCTACATTCTCGTCAAATCAAATGGGGGGTATGTGAGACATATCGCCAGAGAAACTGTTAATAATCTTTAAACCCATACCATCCATCAGGATCTCGTGAGTTTATTATAGCATGGATATTTCTTGCTGTAATCCTTTTTTCTCTCTCATGTTTCCAAATTGGACACTGTGGAATTTTTTTTTTCTTCTAAAAAGGTTAAGTTCTTCCAAGGTTTCTTGAAGAAACTGATGGTAGACAAAAATATCGTAGGCATTTTTCTATTAATCAGCCAGTTTCCCATAACCTGCTGGCACAGAAGCTGGAAAAGGAAATGTTTCCAATAATTTTTCCACCACAAGCTCTTGATTTGAAATTGAAATAACACTAAATATTAGTGGTTTTTTTTTAGGCGTCCTTCATTCTTATGGGTGCTGCAGCTATAGGTTTAGGCCAGTGCCAGACTTGCAACTTTTCTCTTAGAGCTTTTAACAGTTCCATCCTACCATAATCTTCTGCAGCTGACAGCAAACACCAAACTACTAAACAATTGTAACAGATGACATCATGGCATCTTGCGTACTTTGATTGGTTGATAAAACTGAGAAAAGGTAATTTCCAAAAGTTTTGTTAGCTAACTCAACAAGTCGAAAAATTGTCCTTATTATAAAGGTATCCATTATTGCTTCTGGTAAATTGTTATCATGCTTATTAGGTTGTTTTGCAGCTACAGCTTTTTTATAGGTACACTAGGAATCACGGCATAGGTAATGCACAGGTTTTTCATCTGTTGACAACTTGTGAAAATAAATGGCTCATTCAGTCTCTCACATTCTCGTTAGATCCATCTAATGGCATTGCATAATAGTTCTGAATTTTATCTATTTGTGCGTTGTAAGCCTACATTTACCTGTAATTTTCTTTTCATCTTTTAAATTTCAAGTCCAAGAACTTATTATTTTCCTCAAATGAGTACCGCCCTAGACATTTCAACATTCAGATCACCTTAAGGTTTAAGTCATAAACACTTTTAAAACTGTTAGCATCACCATCTCCTATAAATCTAGTGTACCTTAATGTATATTTCTCTATTGAACATAAGGTAACAACTATTCATGCCTTTATTCCACTGGATGAGCCCTTATAAATGGCAGTACTTTGCGATCCCTGATTTCTTTTTCATAACTGAAAACCTTCAGAGTTGTTGCCTTTCTTTCCTCAATATTCACATACTTACATACTTTAGAAAGTGCTTGGTAATTCAAAATTGGTGAAAGGTAAAAAAATAGATGCCAAAAAACCAGGGGTAATTCATGTTTGAAAATTTCGGTAACTTTTTCCTTTTTCAAGAAAACATCATATATATGACTAATAAACTTAAGCATGGCATAAAGTTTTAGAATATTCTAATTAAGTTCAGCAATTGTTAAGATAGTGAAGAAACCATTCCCACCAAAATTGAGGGGAAAAAAACACATTCTTGAAGAAAAAAATGTTTGGTTTTAAAAACATTAAAAGTTTTAATAAACTGAAAATTGTCCCTGTCAAGTTCAAAACAGCGTCCAATACAAAGCCCTGGTTGGCCCGGGCATTTCGGACAGTAGTATCCTGACTCGCAACGGCTGCCATTCTTGCAGCAAACCCTACATCTTTTGTGGGGATTTGCCTTTTGGCCTGTAAAATGGAGTTGGTAAATGAAGTGTTGTTCATTTAATCTATCAATTTCAGAAAGTATGGTAACCCCTCCTTGAAAGATGAAATGTCTAATGCATTGGATACTACTAAAGGTCTGTCTGCCACCAAATTGCTTGTTAAAATGGCTAGTTGAATGAGATGTGTACCTAGCTTGACATACCACCTACAAGTTTTTCTTGCTGCACTGATTGGTTCCAGGACCTGGTCCAGTCTGTCGACACCATTCCTTGGTTGCAATGTTAAACCGAAACTGGCAAATCAATTTCTCTTCGGCCTCTGTGCATTTTCTTAGCAGTCTCATCATATAGACAATTTTTTTTTTGTCCATGAACGTTGAGCAAGTTTCTTCCCTACAGTAATTGAACCTGATTCCCCATTCTTTGCTTGGATGGATATAACCTCCTTAGAGACTCTAGCTATATATGAACTGTACCTATGCATAGGTTTTTTATTTTTTATTTATTTTTTTTTTTGTTAAAGGAACCTGATGAGCGGTACAGAGTTGTACCAGTTGTCTATGGACAGGTTGTAGCTTTGGTTAAGAACTGGAGCAAGAATCCTTGTCCACCTGCAAGAATACAAAATATTAAAAATTAAATTTTAAAATGAGCGAAATTGAAAATTCAAATAAATTTCATCAAAATACAATTAAACGAAATGAAAATCTCCCATAAGAACATCAGAAACTAAATGTCACAATGTTGTCTACCTGAAAGTATACAAAATATGACAAATTTAATTTTAAAATGAGTGAACTGAAAATTCAAATAAATTTCGTCAAAAAACAATTAAGCAAAATGAAAATCTCCCATAAGAACATCAGAAACTAAATGTGACAACCAAACAATTTTCCAGATTTCTTAACATACCCATCTAATCTCCAATAAACTCCTTCTCTTCCCCATCAACATTTGAAGTGTGTCTAATCCTCATAGGAAGGCAGTCCATTCTACCAGAGAGTAGCATGGTCAGCGTAACTTCAACATTCTGACATATACCATTAAATAACTGATCATTAAACCCTCAATCAGATTCTAATTAAGGTCTAACTTTCTTCTCCAACTTATTCCTCTCTCCCTGGTCCCTCTTCTGTCCCACCGCTACCTGACCAGCTATCTTAACACCCTTCATATGTTTATCCCAACCCTGTAACACCATCCTAGATTTACTGGCTTCACCAAGAGCAAAATTAATGAGCCTCTCTCGTTCCAAAATAGGTTGACCTAATAACCAATTCATGGTTTTGTTGACCAAAGCTTTAACCTTGGCATCATCGAAACCAATCGAAGCATTAGGGGCTCTTTTAAATTGGGCATCGACCATCCCCAAAACCCTCTCACTATGGATATTATGAACAGGGGCTAATGAGGTCAGGGCCATTAATTCTGCTGATGGATTAGCCAGTTCCCCAACAAAATATGCCTCAAGCTGCCTGTTTAAGACTGATACAAATTCTATAGACAGAGCAGCAGCTGTCTCAAAAAATCGTGGACACGGTTCGTGGAAATCGTGGATACGGTTCGTGGCTCTGGAGCTCCTGCAACACTTCATCCTCATCAATTGGTAGATTAAATATATCTTCCTCCATCGTCAATATCAAATTGGGTTGTTTGTTGATCTTGTCCAGGTTGGCAATGCACATCCTCATTTGTAGAATCTTTATTGATTAAAAAACAGTGGAAAAAGCTAAAAATATGGACAATGCCCTAATGATTTGGCTTTTTTAAACAAAAATCACCATAAAATAAATCTAAGTAAACAAAAAAAATTTCCTACTATCTCCAAATGTTTTAAACCTTCAGAGTTCCTGTAAAACTGAGTCATCCAGGGTCCAGTTCCAAGCTTACCAAAGAGACCTATCATGAGAAATGCAAAGTATTACTAGCATAAGAAACATCCATGCACAATTGAATATTTACTCATCTTGTCTATTTACCTGGTATGAAATAATGAAAAGAGAAATAGAAATAGGTTACCTAAGACTCCTAGTTGAATAAGAATCTCATTGCACCAGATGTCATTCAGCAGGGCCGTTCTCAATTTGACAGATGTGCAATATTTTTTGAGGTACTCGGCCAGTAATTCTTTCATCTTAAAAATGACTCCTGCAAGGTGAAACAAAATGTGGAGTCTGTTTCCAATGTAGTGAATGATTCCATGTTTAAGATTCTCCTTCTCCAGGAATGCTGTCAACCCTGCAGGATCACCGGATGAAATCTTATACATGTGAAGGGGAAAAAACACAAAAACACAAATGTCTTAATGTGCTTCCCAAATGTTTATATTAGTAATTTAACTAAATCTAAGTACTAAAACAAGCCATATGTAAAAGATTAAAATTAAAGTTACCTTCGTTTAAGATAAGATTTGCAACTCATCCTTCATTCCCATATGACATACCGGTTGTACTCCATGCAGTATCAAGAAGCTTACACTGCTTCCGTGCTTCGGAAGCCATTCCTTCCAGTGGGTGCAGATTGCATTTTAGTTGAACCAACTTTTGTTCAACTGCACAGAAACACATTGATTGACCTTCGCTCTGTCACTAAGAGTGGCACTTAAGGACTGCAAGATACGATGTAACACAACATGCTGATACTCCTTGTTGTATAAAGAATACAGGGTGGCTAGATCTTGAAGGGCGTCAACGAGCTGGTTTAGGTAGTCCTCTGTCTTACCTTTTAGGAACTCAGCCACTTCAATGGTCAGGTTCTGTTCACCTGTAGAGATATGGCAAGCATTATAGTGCCGCCCAACAATTGGCGTAGAGTCTCAGGCAAAGGTGAGGTTTTCTAAAAAGTACATGATATCAGCTACCTTAATATCGGACACGATTCCAATCTCTAAAGCCATGTTTGCAATGGTTGAAGATCCTGGAATGTCTGTCAAGTCCAGTCCCGTTAACTCCTTCACTGTAAATGCTATAACCACCCCTGCTCTTTCAATAGGAACTTGGTTTATCAGGCAGTTATAGATACATTTTCTCATTGGTGCAGTGTAAGTCTTTCTTTGTAGTTTTTTTGCAGTCAGTGAATGAGTCAGTGCAGTTAGGGAAACCATTCAGACTAAGCAAGGAAGCCATTCTGACTATGCTTTCTGTCTCCATCAACCTATCGATTGTAAGCAATGAATTTTTTCATTCTTCATTATTCAATTTTAATGATTTTTTTAAAGCTAAATTTTCTCTTCTTAGCAATGAGATGTGACGCTCTAAAATCTTCTTCTCCTGCACCAGTTTTGACATCTTGGCTGATCATTCAGTACATTTACTATATACTTTGCTTTGAGACTTCATTTCTTCATTTAGTTATTTATTTTATAATCTCAATTTATGTATAACCTCAGCTTTCCGTTTAAAGGTTTGATTTAAAACTATCTGATCAAAACGCTTAGAAAGAGCTTTAACCTTCGTATTTGTTTCTCTCAGCCTGTCCGCTAAACTTTTGCACTTGGAATGGCTTGCCTCTCTGAAGGAAGGGCATTTATGTTATGTTCCAGGGTTAATGTATGACCCAGATTAAAAGTAATTACATCTTTGAATTGAGAGGTCAATTTGTTTGTTTTTTTTAAAAATAGTTGCTGTCTCTATACTGTCTTCTTTTGGTAGGTGCATGTTTGGTTTTGAAAACCTGTCTTCTCTAAACTTTCAGGAATTGTGTTGATCCTATCTGCTATCTCTATAGTTTTCTGGACAGTTATCATATTGTCTATGTTTAAAACTTCTCCATTTGTCTATTACATAATCTACTCTGTTTAGTTTCTTGTGTACTATGTATGGTCCTTTCCAGATCTTCTCTCCTATTCTGTTTGGCAGCCAAACATAAAGTGTCTTTCTCTTTTCAATTTTTAAAAATATCTCTTGATTTTTTTATGTTTCTGTCTTCTAGCTTCTCTCTCTGTATTCTCTGTAGCTTTTTGTAGCCCATAAACTATTTTTTCTCTTATATTAGTAATAATGTCAAATGAATCTTCAGCTTTTCTTTCCTAAGATACCCTCTTTAAAAATAGATAGTGGTCTTCTAGGGTTAGCACCAAACATCAGTTCAAACCCTGTTGTTTCTTGTACACTCTCTGTATGCAAAGAGTAACATGGGAAGGTATAAATACCAGTCCCTAGGTGTGTATTTTGGAAATATCTTGTCTGTAAGTTTTTTTTTTTGGGGGGGGGGGGGGGGCAAATATCTCCCTCTTTGTTCAGCCAGCATTGGACATTAAAGCAGGTGTTCTAGTTCTTCAATGTCTACATTTTGGGTTGTCACGATTGGCTATACTTGTCAAGTATTCTTGAGTGGGGCAGTGCTCTGTTTTTATCTGAGATAGAGCAGCTGCGGTCGTCTGACTTTGTGGGTTTATTTCTTATAGCTCCATCTTTTGCCGGTTCATCTGCATTTCCCAAAGATTTTGAGTGTCCTGGGATCCACTGAAGTGATACTGACTTCCAGAAGGTAGTTTTTATTAATTGGATGTCTCTTGTTGTATCCTCAAGTTTCAGATTGGCGTTTTGCTTCATGACTAGAAGGGTTAATTTTGAGTCTGTAAATATGATTTAAATCAAGCCCTTTGAAGTGTGTTTATAGCTACATGGATGGCTTCAGTTTCCGCTTCTACATAGGAGGCATATCTTTTGCAAGGTCCATTTATTTCAGTGCATTTCTCTATTTCTGGGATTTTAATAGTAATATCAAATCCAGCTCCATCCTGTTCTGCAAATCTACTATTTGGAGAGTAGTATAAGTATTAAGGTGAGTTGCTACAGAATGTTTTCGACATCATCAGGCTGTTCTTGCCCTTCCTCATCCTGTCCTCCCTCTGCCTGCCCTTTGTCTTGTTCTTCTTCAAATTTGGAGTTTGGTTATGCTGCACTGGCACAGGTCTCACTATTCTGTGCATATTGAGGATGAGCTTCTCTCTAATTGTTGGTGTCGAAAACATTCTGTAGCAGCTCATCTTAGTACTTATACTACTCCCCAAGTCTAAAACAACCTGGCTGATTGGTTGCGGCAACATTCTCTTAACTGAGATTTATGATTGGAATGCAATAAAGACCTTTTTCTTGAAGATAAGAATGCCAATTTCATTTTAGAGGCAATATCCTGTTCTGCAATCTGACTAAATAACTTTTTCTGATGCCAATGGTTGCAAATAATTCTCCAGCATTTTGTATTAGTTCCTGCAAGATAGTTTCCATATCCAAGGATATGAACTAATGAAGTCAAAATATTAATCTTTGAAATTCTGTTGGATTTTCTTCCTTTTTTAAGTAAAAAAGCCAAAACGTATAAAGCTGTAAATATGTTGTTTTTAAATTAAATTTAACATTACAGAAGCTGTCTGTTTTATCTTTATTGTAAAGTGTTTTTAAAAAATAAAATAAACACAGCCCAAAAAAAAATAAAAAAATCCAGAAAAAAACCAAATAGTTTAAGCTGGGTTTTTAAATAAAATCAACTATGTCGTACGTAAAGATTTAATTTTGCAATCTGATATGAATGCAGGTAAATGCCTCTTAACCAACCACTTTCAGTTTACAAATTTCAACAAACTTAATCAACCCTGAATTCAGCTGAAGTTTCATGTGGCATTGCAGTATAAACAATACTTGTGATAAAAGAAGCAGCATTTTTAATTTGTACAATTCGCTGAAATCAGCTTGGATCTGTTATTGGTAAATGCAGTATAAACATACCCTTTGTTAGGAAAGCTGCATTACTTAATAGTTTGATTACCATAAGGGTTTACAACTTATCAAGTACTGCACAAAGAGCTGTAAACTCGAAATGGAAATTAGAGGCATCATCAAAGGCTTTACTGTAAGAGTCTCTGGGCTGATTTTAATGTTTATATGTTTTAAATTCAACGCCAAGGATTTCCATCAGTGGTCGTAAGTCTATGCTCACACAGTGAGCTAAATTTTTAATAAAATAATCAAAGTAGACTTGGTAGCTCCAGAACTCATCCAACTCTTTACACTAATGAAAAATGCATGAAGCATAAGCTACTGTTAGGGAGCGCAGATTCTGAATAAAACCACGATTCTGAGAAAATGCTTCTGCCACGTCCCATACAGAGTTATGGTTCCATAGTTTCCAGAGCATCAATGAAACATAGACTTCTGATCTTGGTCTGTGCCCAGAGCCAGCGTCTCTCAAGCAGAGGTAGTTCACATGTACCCCTATGGTTTGAGCAGTTTTCAGGTCAATTTCCGTTAGCTTGTAATACTGATTTCAGTATGTTTTCCAGTCTGGCACCACTGAGTCAGCAATGTTATAAGGGGTAACAAGACAAAGTAAATGAAAGGAATTGACCAGATTCACTGACGGCTGGTTTTTCTTTAAGTCTTGGTAGAGCTGTTTACTATAGCTAAGGTCAATACATCCTTTGAAAGTGGCATTTCCTACTGACGTAATCTGCAGAAAACTTCTTTCTTCAGAAATCAAATCCACTATGTCGTATGTAAAGATTTGATTTTGCAATCTGATATGAATGCAGCTAAAAGCCTCTTAACAAAACATTTTCAGTTTAAAAATTTCAACAACCTTAATCAACCCTGTATTCAGCTGAAGTTTCATGTGGCATTGCAGTATAAACAATACTTGTGATAAAAGAAGCAGCATTTTTAATTTGTACAATTCGCTGAAATCAGCTTGGATCTGTTATGGGGAAATGCAGTTTATAAATACCCTTTATGAGGAAAGCTGCATTACTTAATAGTTTGATTACCATAAGGGTTTACAACTTATCAAGTACTGCACAAAGAGCTGTAAACTCGAAATGGAAATTAGAGGCATCATCAAAGGCTTTACTGTATGAGTCTCTGGGCTGATTTTTAATGTTTATATGTTTTTTTAATTCAACGCCAAGGATTTCCATCAGTGGTCGTAAGTCTATGCTCACACAGTGAGCTAAATTTTTAATAAACTAATCAAAGTAGACTTGGTAGCTCCAGAACTCATCCAACTCCTTACACTAATGAAAACTCATGAAGCATAAGCTACTGTTAGGGAGTGCAGATTCTGAATAAAATCATGATTCTGAGAAAATGCTTTTGCCACGTCCCATACAGAGTTATGGTTCCATAGTTTCCAGAGCATCAATGAAACATAGACTTCTGATCTTGGTCTGTGCCCAGAGCCAGCGTCTCTCAAGCAGAGGTAGTTCTCATGTACCCCATGGCTTAAGCAGTTTTCAGGTCAATTTCCGTTAGCTTGTAATACTGATTTCAGTATGTTTTCCAGTCTGGCACCACTGAGTCAGCAATGTTATAAGGGGTAACAAGACAAAGTAAATGAAAGGAATTGACCAGATTCACTGACGGCTGGTTTTTCTTTAAGTCTTGGTAGAGCTGTTTACTATAGCTAAGGTCGATACATCCTTTGAAAGTGGCATTTCCTACTGACGTAATCTGCAGAAAACTTCTTTCTTCAGAAATCAAATCCACTATGTCGTATGTAAAGATTTGATTTTGCAATCTGATATGAATGCAGCTAAAAGTCTCTTAACAAAACGTTTTCAGTTTACAAATTTCAACAACCTTAATCAACCCTGTATTCAGCTGAAGTTTCATGTGGCATTGCAGTATAAACAATACTTGTGATAAAAGAAGCAGCATTTTTTAATTTGTATAATCCGCTGAAATCAGTTAGGATCTGTTATTGGGAAATGCAGTTTATAAATACCCTTTATGAGGAAAGCTGCATTACTTAATAGTTTTAAACCATAAGGGCTTAAAACTTATCAAATACTGCACTAGCTGTAAACTCAAAATGTAATTGAATATTGTTGAAAATAAAAGTTAGAGGCATCATCAAAGGCTTTACTGTAAGAGTCTCTGGGCAGATCTTAATGTTTCTCAGCCAATCTTTATTTCTTTATGGCACTGTCTTTATTTCCTTTTGTCACATCTCAGTGGAGGTTAGCTTTTTAAAATATGTCTTCTTTAAAAAACCAACCATTTTTTAACCATGCCTTCGACGGTCCCAAGCCCGTGTCAAAATGGGAGGGAAAAATTGTTGGTCTTTTCTTCTATTAATAATAAATTCTATTAGATCTTTGTCTTTTTATTATCGGTTTCTAGGTTTTTCAAGGAAAAAACAAAATGTTTAAAGTTTGTAAGTCTCTTGTGCCTTACTCACATGAGAAGAGCCTACCATACTTGCAAGATTCCTTGTTCATAGTCACAAGCCTACTACAACTACCAGTTAGGTTTTATGATATAATAATTTGATGGCTGATATGTGTGGCATGATTGCCGATATTTTTTGCTTGAGAAGTACTTAAAATTTCCTATATTTAAATTGTTCTATTTAAAAATTACTTTTTTAGAATATTTATCCTAAAGCTTAAAATTAGTAAGTACACATTAATCAAAACACATTCCATTAAAGAATATTATTTTATCTTATTAGTAAGATTCCATGATACTAGTCACAGGAGTACAATCCACCAGTGTTACAAGATTCATTGGTACTAGTCACAGGAGTACAATCCACCAGTATTAACAAGATTCATTGGTACTAGTCACAGTAGTACAACCTACCAGTGTTAACAAGATTCATTGTTACTAGTGACAGGAGTACAACCTACCAGTATTAACAAGATTCATTGGTACTAGTCACAGTAGTACAACCTACCAGTGTTAACAAGATTCATTGGTACTAGTTACAGGAGTACAACCTGCCAGTGTTACAAAATTCCTAGATACTAATCAAGGGGTTCCTGTTGGCAATGTACATTTGTTTATATTTTCCATTCCATAGACCTTTAGTACATAGGCCGATAATGTGGTAATGAAGTTTTATAGTTTAAAATAATCATCCTACTTCTAGTATCTAAGCCTATTTTAAGTTTATTATTGTTTAAAACAATTTTTCGACTCCTAGTTCCTAAACCTAATTGATTTTCTTTATAGTTTAAAATAATCATCAGAGTACATAGTCCTATAATGGCCTAAAGTTATAGCATATAGAATACTCTATACAGATAATCTGAATATCATACACTCCCTATATAAATAAGTTAAAAAAACAATATTAGCCAATGCTGTTACGTTTTACTTTTAGTAAACTCAGGAAAGCAATAGTAAAATTACCTATGCAGAATTCCAGGATATTTCTACTATAATTTATTTTGTAATTGTAAGCACTCAACTGTTTTGCTTGGTTGTTTTTCAGTGAAATGTATTTAGTCCTACTATTAAGTAGCCTACTGTCTTTATTATTGTAAATTTTCTGGTTAATGTCTCAGCGCTAAACTAATATACCGGGTAGTTGCTTTTTACAAAGTCTTATAATCTATGGTTATGAATAATATAATTTATAAGTATAAGTTTTGATTGTGAGAGTAATAAATGGAAGCTTATATCCATCTTATAGAGTTAAGACAGCGTTTTGGTCTTATTACGAGAGGATTTAAGGAAATTTCTAATCCCAAAATTTAAAGGACTTTATTCACACTTTACTATGGATTTGATTGAATATATTTTTTATTCCAAAATTAATAAATACAGGAAAATGGACCAAATAAACGTTGAGTTTTCGGCAAATGGTGGATACTAATTTTATAAGATTGTGGTCTTGAAAATGGTAGGCAATCTTGGTAATTAATATGTAAAGGAAAAAAACCAAAACAAACTTGTTAGCCTTATTTTCCTCAAGCTTTTCAATAAATGCCCATGTTTTCTTTAATTTTTGGATTTTATTTTAACCTAGCAACAGGTACTTAATGAATGTTATAGGTGATAATTTGTTGCATGTTTTCCTTAGAAATAATAATAAAAAAAAACTATATTGTTATTCACAGTTGTTTGATATTTTTAATTTTTGAGTGTTGGCATTTTAATTAGATCTAATATCATGTCTAAATGACTTGTAACTTTTAAGCAAAATGTTTGGTATTATTCACTAGAAATTTTAATGTGTTGTAATCTTGTATGCTGGGATGTGCTAGGAAAATATCCACTTTATTACATGTTTCTTTTAAAATTGACATGTGTTTCTTTTTTTGGGAAAGCAATCCTTACTGCATTCATGCAGGTCTTTTCAAAATCAACTAAAATCTTTAAAAGGTGCCAAATTTGGGGCTAGCATCTTCATTTTTTCCAAAATTCTTTTATATGTATATACTTCTCTCTTTTTTTAAAAACTTGTTAATGAAATATAAAGACACGGTGGTTATGAGGTGCCCACGTTGACATATCACGTGTATACTTGGTAAAACATAGTTGATACTTTATCAAAACTGCCATCTTCATATTTTGTGTTTTTATGCAGGTCATTGAACAGCCCCTGATCACCTAAAAGTGAAACTAGAATTCTATCTGGATCATCTGCCCCCCTAATCATTAAGAGCAAACTCACTGTATGGTACTTCTCTGGAATTACACTATTGATTGTTTCTGGGTTAGGTGATTGTCTTTTCTGTGCATTAGAATTAGAAGTTTTCTTGCAAGGGATTTTTTTTATAGGTGTAGGCAGTGGTTTTTTTTTGTAAAAAAATAGGTGCCGGTACTCAGTGATGGATTGCCTAACTTTGAACGACCAGTTCGCACCTCGATGCAAGCTAAATCACAACTGCAAAGATACTAAATGTCTAAAACAATTTTATTTTATAATTAACCAACTTGAATTGTTTTAGTATTACTTTATTAGTATACCGTATACATTTTTTATGATTTGTAAAATTTAACTAACAACTTATTCAAGTTATTCTTGATTTACTTTCAAAAAATTGTGTCAAGTTCTCTTGTGTTTTATAGGAAAGAACCCTGTTACAAATGAAATATAAATTTTGAATAAATTATTCATAATAAATTCCATAGTTTGATCAAGTTCTCATCTGACGTATACTCCCGACTGCGTTCTTTGCTGTTGGTATCTGTGGCTGAATGTCTGCCTCTAAGCAACTATGAATCAACGTATCTTGTAGGGTCAAAACGTACGATAATCTGATAAATAACAGTGAAGATACAGTTGTTGTCATCAATGAACTTCTTGTCGGGGTGATGATTAGATTCATTTGCGAAAATCCTCTTTCGGCTTCACTTGAAGAAATTGGGATTGTACTGAGAGCAATTTGCAAAGGAAGTAGTTTATCCGGAATGTTTATTTCGATGAGATATTCACGAAATCACCGAATCATTATTCTTTCGTTTAATTGCAATCTTGTTGACAAGTTTCTCATGTCTGTTTCGCCAAATGTTAAGTGAGTATCAATGTTGCTCGGCCATTGTTTTATATCAAGCACTCGAGCCCAACTCAGCATCTTCACTAGAAAGCAACCTTTTGTTCAATTGATTTTTGTAGTTTTTTGTAAAAAGCTTTTAAGTAAGTCAATTGGTGGATCACTGGTACAGTTTTTGGTGTGAAGTGAAACTCCTTTGAAAAGGTTACTATCTACAGCAGTGGCCGCAATTTTA